ATTTCTGATTTACAGTATTATAATAACATATTCCTTCATATGGATATTTTACTCACATTTCTCCGAACTGATTCACTTAATAGTAATCTACTTCTCATTTCCACCACCGATATATTCAATACTTTTTCCATTTCCTGTTATTTCACTCTGTTTAATATAATTATGAAATGTGCCACACCCTTTTTAATTAGAGATCATAGCCATAGAATAAGCTGATCCTTTGCTAAAACTTTATATTGTCTACTGTCCTTCACTGACGCCACCTTGTAAATCTGCCCATAAATTTAACATTCTTAAGACGAATTTTAATTCCGGTTTTGTCTCTGATGCTGCAGCTCTCATTATATTGTCAAATTCTTTGATATTCAGAACAGTCTTCACTTCACCTGACTGGATATAAAAGTATATGGTAGCGACAACTGGTGAAGAAAAATGCAGTCAGTTTTTTTCTCGTTTTTGCCTCTTATGGGATTTCCTCCCCCACTTAGAGGAAAACATTAGGGACGTGTTTCCATGAGACACCAGTTGTCTACGTCCACCCATCAGTATAAAATGGGTACCTGGGTGTTAGACGACTGATGTAGATTGCATCCTGGGACAAAACTGACCTAATTGGCCCAAAATGCTCAGCATAACAAGCGGCTTTCTATGTAGAAGTAATTCATTGATGTCAGCTATGGCATGTATACCTTGTACATGTATTGGAAGAAATAAAGATTTTTTTTTTCAGCAAGTCGGCCGTCTCCCACCGAGGCAGGGTGACCCAAAGAAAAACAAGATCCCCAAAAAGAAAATGCTTTCATCATCATTCAACACTTTCACCTCACTCACACATAATCACTGTTTTTGCAGAGGTGCCCAGAATAGAACAGTTTAGAAGTATATATCTATAAAAATACACAATATATCACTCCAAACAGCCAATATTCCAAACCCCTCTTTTAGAGTGCAGGCATTGTACCTCCCATTTCCAGGACTCAAGTCCGGTTATATAAAATAACAGGTTTTCCTGAATCTCTTCACTAAATATTACCCTGCTCACACTCCAACAGATCGTCAGGTCCCAAATACCATTCGTCTCCATTCACTCTTATCTAACACGCTCACGCACGCTTGCTGGAAGTCCAAATCCCTCGCCCACAACACCTCCTTTACCCCCTCCCTCCAGCCTTTTCGAGGACGACCCCTACCCCGCCTTCCTTTCCCTACAGATTTATACGCTCTCCATGTCATTCTACTTTGATCCTTTCTCTCTAAATGACCAAACCATCTCAACAACCCCTCTTCTGCCCTCTGACTAATACTTTTATTAACTCCACACCTTCTAACTTCCACACTCCGAATTTTCTGCATATTTACACCACACATTGCCCTTAGACAGGACATTTCCACTGCCTCCAACCGCCTCCTCGCTGCAGCATTTACAACCGACGCTTCACACCCATATAAGAGTGTTGGTACTACTATACTTTCATACATTCCCTTCATGCCTCCATAGACAACATTTTTTTACCTCCACATATACCTCAACGCACCACTCACCATTTTTCCTGCATCAGTTCTATGATTAACCTCATCCTTCATAAATCCATCTGCTGACACGTCAACTCCCAAGTATCTGAAAACATTCACTTCTTCCATACTCCTCCTCCCCAATTTGATATCCAATTTTTCTTTATCTAAATCATTTGATACTCTCATCACCTTACTCTTTTCTATGTTCACTTACAACTTTCTACCTTTACACACATTCACAAATTCGTCCACTAACCTTTGCAATTTTTCTTTAGAATCTCCCATAAGCACAGTGTCATCAGCAAAAAGTAACTGTGTCACTTCCCATATTGCATTTAATTCCCCATAACTTAATGCTACCCCTCTCCCGAACACCCTAGCATTTACTTCTTTTACAACCCCATCTATAAATATATTAAACAACCATGGTGACATTACACATCCCTGTCTAAGACCTACTTTTACCGGGAAGTAGTCTCCCTCTCTTCTACACACCCTAACTTGAGCCTCACTATCCTCATAAAAACTCTTCACAGCATTTAGTAACTTACTACCAATTCCATACACTTGCAACATCTGCCACATTGCTCCCCTATCCACTCTATCATATGCCTTTTCTAAATCCATAAATGCAATAAAAACTTAAACCATACCCCCGGCCGGGATTGAACCCGCGGTCATAGAGTCTCAAAACTCAAAACATATATGCTTCAATGTAAACACTTGATCTACACATCCCCTACCCACTCTAAAACCTCCTTGCTCATTCGCAATTCTACATTCTGTATTTCCTCTAATTCTTTCAATAATAACCCTACCGTACACTGTTCCTGGTATACTCAGTAAACTTATTCCTCTAAAATTTTTACAATCTCTTCTGTCCCCTTCCCTTTATATAAAGGGACTATACATGCTCTCCGCCAATCCCTAGGTATCTTCCCCTCTTTCATACATTTATTAAGCAAAAGTACCAACCACTCCAACACTATGTCACCCCCTGCTTTTAACATTTCTTTCATGATCCCGTCAGTTCCAGCTGCTTTACCCTCTTACATTATTATTATTATTACTATTATTATTATTATTAGTAGTAGTAGTAGTAGTAGTAGTAGTAGTACTTTAGAACGTGTTTAATGAACATGTTTAGGCCCTGGGAGACTGGTCGCTTCAACATTCATAGGCTAAGAAAACATTGCCTTAAAGATTCTGGAGAACCCATGAGTGAAGGTGAGGTCTGGTTACCTGACACCTGACTACCTTGTCCAGTGGTGGGAGGTATGATGCTTGGCTGATGATCATGTGTACAAGTGTGGCCCACTCTAAACAGGTCTTTCTGTAACCCAAACTAAACTCAGTCTAACACTATGTAGTAGAACTAGCAGATCACCAGGCCGCAGTGGCCCGTGGCCTGGTGGCAAATGCTCTAGTTTCACACGGTGAGGCTCCGGGTTGAAACATTGGGCGTATTTCCTTACAACGGTTGTCTATGTTCACCCATCAGTAAAATGAGTACCTGGGTGTTAGGTGACTAGTGTGGGTCGGATCCTGGGACAAAACTGACCTAATTTGCCCGAAATACTCTGCATAACAAGCGGTTGTTTATATAGAAGTGTCATTCTACAATAAACAAACCCAGATGTTGCACATGTGTCAAATTCTTCATCTTATGAATGTACTAAATGACATGACAACAAAATAAATCGAGTCAGAGGTATTCCTGATTGAAAATTACGTGGCTGTATTGGACATACTTGTCCCGAAGTTATAGAGCTGAAAGGAATGCTGGATTTGTGGGTTTTCGATTGGCCATAACGTCTATTACGTTTTTGTGGAGAATCTCTCATCATCACCTGTCAAAATAAACACATACAGCTCTTGTCCTTCTAAGCCAGGTCAGTGTTTCTGAAAAAGTTGTAACGAACCATGTTACTTCGCTTTTCAAGGACTGGGTGGGATTCTAATCCGAGACATGGAAAATGCTAATCCTATACTCATTCCATTTAGCCACGATAGCTATAACATCATTTCCTTTAATCATAACTTGGCTTAGCCGAACAAGAGTCTCATAAAATAGAAGAGATCAATCTATTATGACCTGCTTGCTTAATAAAGTTCTTCTTAATAAAGATCAGTAACAATAAAGCTCATCACTGCAACTGATTTTTTTACCACTTGTCGCCTTTGCACCAGCTGTGTAAACCATCCCCGCCTGCTGCACCAGCTGTGTCTACCATCCCCTCCTGCTGCACCAGCTGTGTCTGCCATCCCTGCCTGCTGCACCAGCTGTGTCTGCCATCCCTGCCTGCTGCACCAGCTGTGCCTGCCATCCCTGCCTGCTGCACCAGCTGTGTCTACCATCGGTGCCTGCTGCACCAGCTGTGTCTACCATCCCTGCCTGCTGCACCAGCTGTGTCTACCATCCCTGCCTGCTGCACCAGCTGTGTCTGCCATCCCTGCCTGCTGCACCAGCTGTGTCTGCCATCCCTGCCTGCTGCACCAGCTGTGTCTGCCATCCCTGCCTGCTGCACCAGCTGTGTCTACCATCCCTGCCTGCTGCACCAGCTGTGTCTACCATCCCTGCCTGCTGCACCAGCTGTGTCTACCATCCCTGCCTGCTGCACCAGCTGTGTCTACATCCCTTCCTGCTGCACCAGCTGTGCTACCATCCCTGCCTGCTGCACCAGCTGTGTCTACCATCCCTGCCTGCTGCACCAGCTGTGTCTACCATCCCTGCCTGCTGCACCAGCTGTGTCTACCATCCCTGCCTGCTGCACCAGCTGTGTCTACCATCCCTGCCTGCTGCACCAGCTGTGTCTACCATCCCTGCCTGCTGCACCAGCTGTGTCTGCCATCCCTGCCTGCTGCACCAGCTGTGTCTACCATCCCTGCCTGCTGCACCAGCTGTGTCTACCATCCTTGCCTGTGGCTTTTGCTTACTTCTCCAAGTGTAAGAAATTTATGGTAAGAGCGTCACTGTGATCCTCTGTGGTACAGCTGAGAGAGTGTTGGGCTAGTAGGAACATCACTTGTGACCCTCTGTGGTACAGCTGAGAGAGTTTTGGGCTGGTAGGAACATCACTTGTGATCCTCCGTGGTACAGCTGAGAGAGTTTTGGGCTGGTAGGAACATCACTTGTGATCCTCTGTGGTACAGCTGAGAGAGTGTTGGGCTGGTAGGAACATCACTTGTGATCCTCCGTGGTACAGCTGAGAGAGTTTTGGGCTGGTAGGAACATCACTTGTGATCCTCCGTGGTACAGCTGAGAGAGTTTTGGGCTGGTAGGAACATCACTTGTGATCCTCTGTGGTACAGCTGAGAGAGTGTTGGGCTGGTAGGAACACCACTTGTGATCCTCTGTGGTACAGCTGAGAGAGTGTTGGGCTGGTAGGAACACCACTTGTGATCCTCTGTGGTACAGCTGAGAGAGTGTTGGGCTGGTAGGAACATCACTTGTGATCCTCTGTGGTACAGCTGAGAGAGTGTTGGGCTGGTAGGAACATCACTTGTGATCCTCTGTGGTACAGCTGAGAGAGCGTTGGGCTGGTAGGAACATCACTTGAGATCCTCTGTGGTACAGCTGAGAGAGCGTTGGGCTGGTAGGAACATCACTTGAGATCCTCTGTCGTACAGCTGAGAGAGTGTTGGGCTGGTAGGAACGTCACTTGTGATCCTCTGTGGTACAGCTGAGAGAGTGTTGGGCTGGTAGGAACGTCACTTGTGATCCTCTGTGGTACAGCTGAGAGAGTGTTGGGCTGGTAGGAACGTCACTTGTGATCCTCTGTGGTACAGCTGAGAGAGTGTTGGGCTGGTAGGAACGTCACTTGTGATCCTCTGTGGTACAGCTGAGAGAGTGTTGGGCTGGTAGGAACGTCACTTGTGATCCTCTGTGGTACAGCTGAGAGAGTGTTGGGCTGGTAGGAGCATCACTTGTGATCCTCTGTGGTACAGCTGAGAGAGCGTTGGGCTGGTAGGAGCATCACTTGTGATCCTCTGTGGTACAGCTGAGAGAGCGTTGGGCTGGTAGGAACATCACTTGTGATCCTCTGTGGTACAGCTGAGAGAGCGTTGGGCTGGTAGGAGCATCACTTGTGATCCTCTGTGGTACAGCTGAGAGAGCGTTGGGCTGGTAGGAGCATCACTTGTGATCCTCTGTGGTACAGCTGAGAGAGCGTTGGGCTGGTAGGAACATCACTTGTGATCCTCTGTGGTACAGCTGAGAGAGTGTTGGGCTGGTAGGAACATCACTTGTGATCCTCTGTGGTACAGCTGAGAGAGTGTTGGGCTGGTAGGAACATCACTTGTGATCCTCTGTGGTACAGCTGAGAGCGTTGGGCTGGTAGGAACATCACTTGTGATCCTCTGTGGTACAGCTGAGAGAGTGTTGGGCTGGTAGGAACATCACTTGTGATCCTCTGTGGTACTGCTGAGAGAGCATTGGGCTGGTAGGAACATCACTTGTGATCCTCTGTGGTACAGCTGAGAGAGTGTTGGGCTGGTAGGAACATCACTTGTGATCCTCTGTGGTACAGCTGAGAGAGCGATGAGCTGGTAGGAACATCACTTGTGATCCTCTGTGGTACTGCTGAGAGAGTGTTGGGCTGGTAGGAACATCACTTGTGATCCTCTGTGGTACAGCTGAGAGAGTGTTGGGCTGGTAGGAACATCACTTGTGATCCTCTGTGGTACAGCTGAGAGAGTGTTGGGCTGGTAGGAACATCACTTGTGATCCTCTGTGGTACAGCTGAGAGAGCGTTGGGCTGGTAGGAATATCACTTGTGATCCTCTGTGGTACAGCTGAGAGAGTGTTGGGCTGGTAGGAACATCACTTGTGATCCTCTGTGGTACAGCTGAGAGAGTGTTGGGCTGGTAGGAACATCACTTGTGATCCTCTGTGGTACAGCGGAGAGAGTGTTGGGCTGGCAGGAACATCACTTGTGATCCTCTGTGGTACAGCTGAGAGAGCGATGGGCTGGTAGGAACATCACTTGTGATCCTCTGTGGTACAGCTGAGAGAGCGATGGGCTGGTAGGAACATCACTTGTGATCCTCTGTGGTACAGCTGAGAGAGCCTTGGGCTGGTAAGAACATCACTTGTGATCCTCTGTGGTACAGCTGAGAGTGTTGGGCTGGTAGGAACATCACTTGTCATCCTCTGTGGTACAGCTGAGAGTGTTGGGCTGGTAGGAACATCACTTGTGATCCTCTGTTGTACAGCTGAGAGAGTGTTAGGCTGGTAGGAACGTCACTTATGATCCTCTGTTGTACAGCTGAGAGAACGTTGGGCTGGTAGGAACATCACTTGTGATCCTCTGTGGTACAGATGAGAGAACATTGGGCTGGTAGGAACATCACTTGTGATCATCTGTGGTACAGATGAGAGAGCGTTGGGGTGGTAGGAACATCACTTCTGATCCTCTGTGGTACAGATGATAGAACGTTGGGCTGGTAGGAACATCACTTCTGATCCTCTGTGGTACAGCTGATAGAACGTTGGGCTGGTAGGAACATCGCTTGTGATCCTCTGTGGTACAGCTGAGAGAGCGATGGGCTGGTAGGAGCATCACTTGTGATCCTCAGTGGTACAGCTGAGAGAGCCTTGGGCTGGTAAGAACATCACTTGTGATCCTCTGTGGCACAGCTGAGAGATCGTTGGGCCGGTAGGAACATTACTTGTGATCCTCTGTGGCAAAGCTGCGAGAGCGTTGGGCTTGTAGGAACATCACTTGTGATCCTCTGTGGTACAGCAGAGAGAGCGATTGGCTTTTAAGAACATCACTTGTGATCCTCTGTGGTACAGCTAAGAAAGCGATGGGCTTGTAGGAACATCACTTGTGATCCTCTGTGGTACAGCTGAGAGAGTGTTGGGCTGCTAGGAACATCACTTGAGATCCTCTGTGGTACAGCTAAGAAAGCGATGGGCTTGTAGGAACATCACTTGTGATCCTCTGTGGTACAGCTGAGAGAGCGTTGGGCTGGTAGCATTTGCAGAATCACGGGTTCAAAACGTCGAGACTCGCACTACATTATTTCATTATTTCGAATTCTCAGCACACAAGTGTAAGTAACGTGTGACTTACTGAATATACACATATGTGCATCTCACCAGGTACACCTTTGTGCGCCCTCCTGACGGAGTCTGGGGTGTTAGACTCAGTAATGGTTCATGGACCGGCATGTTGGGCATGGTGGTGAGGGAGGTCAGTGTAGTGAATCATTTATGGAGAAATTTCCTCCACCAGTGGGCTAGGAGCAAGAGGGCCATGATCCCTCCCTCTTTCCCACAACACTCGAGATGGAGGGGGACCGTATATGTCACATACCCTATTAGACGTATATCTTATATGTAGTCTCAAGAAGCCAGATATTAAACTTGACGAAGTCATACCAGATACCATTCTCTTGCCAGTTACGACTAGCAAGAGAATGGTATCTGGTATGATTGCGAGAGAAAACTTTCATTAAAAACATCCTAAAAATATATTAATAAGCCTTGAAGCAAATGATACATCTAGTAGAATTAATTAAGTCAGAAACACCTCAGAGTCAAGGAAATCTCATTTCTTGACTTACGATTGTCACCATAGCTGTCACCTGTGGCTGTAGACATTATAACAGTAGTTCTACACCCCTACTGAAGGAGGGGTGTCCTTCTGGCAAGACAGTGATGGAGTGAATGATGGTGAAAGTTTTTCTTTTTCGGGCCACCGTGCCTTGGTGGGAATCGGCCAGTGTGCTAATAAAAAATAAAAATTCTACCCCCATATAACGTGACGCCGGGGACACGGAGGTACCATTCATAATCAGAGTGATCAATCGACTCAATAGTGCAGTATCGACCTAACAACAAAGGAACGAGAATCGCGTCAGTAACTGAACGAGTTGCTGAAAGAAGGACCCGACGGTCTCACACTGCCATGAAACATAGAAGTTCCTTCGTGACTGACGATCTCCTGACAGAACTGAGGAAGAAATACGGCGTTGAGACATAAGAGTAATTCTCCCAAGCGAGGTATCGGTAGTAACAAGTGACTGCAAAGTCGAGTAACACTAAACAAGTCGTCGAGTGTACTGCATACTGAACAGTCTAATTATGCAATGAACTAGAACATGATGAACCGCCCACAGTATTCCCAAATGATGTTTATTGTGGCCACAGTGACGAAAGAAGTGAATACATTCTCGTGATTCATTGGGGTACCACCATCATAGCGTCAATCAAGCTATCGATACCAGCATCACTACGATATGGTTGAGACATGTGGTCCCAGCTACACATATTAGCGAAGGTAAGTTCCATCACTATACTTAACTATACTATACACTGCAGTGGATAGAGTTAGATATAGTTATTGGGGCTAACCTTTCATTGAAGCCGTAACAAGAGGGCTATCCGCCCACTCTTAGTAAGTCACGTGATCTCACCAGGTACATTACCTAATATATTGGATCACATGTGTTATTACACATGTGATCTGTGATCTGCCCTATGTCAGCCCCGTGGGACGTAACACGCCGCAACTACGAAATCTTAGGTCGTCGAACTTTAAGATGAGTGCCTTACAACCACTCAAAGTCAATCACTAGTCTTTAATCTTAGTAAAAGTTCTGACAATGTTCTCTCAGGATATTTCTGTCACAAGTCAGTATCACGAAGGAACTTCTATGTTTCATGGCAGTGTGAGACCGTCGGTTCCTTCTTTCATAAACTCGTTCAGTTACTGATGCGATTCTCGTTCCTTTGTTGTTAGGTCGATACTGCACTAATGAGTCGATTGATCACTCTGATTATGAATGGTACCTCGGTGTCGCCGGCGTCACGTTATATGAGGGCAAACCTGATGTCATAATGTCTACAGTCATAGGTACCAACTCTGGCGACAATCGTAAGTCAAGGAATGAGTTTTCCTTTACTCTGAGGTGTTCCTGATTTAATCCTCCTAGATATATCATTGGCTTAAAGGCTTATTAATATTATACTTAGGATGTTTTGAATAAAAGTTTTCTCTGGCAAACATGTGAGTAAAATATTCTGACAGTCCTAACTGGAAAGAGAAGGGTATCTGGTATGATTTCGTCCAGTTTAATATCTGGCTTGTTGAGACTACATGTAAGATATACTAGTCGGGTATGTGGCTTGTTGAGACCTTGAGTATGATATACGATCCCCCTCCATCTCGAGTGTTGTGGGAAAAAGGGTGAGGCAATGACCCCCCTTGCACCTTCTACCCCACTGTTGGCCCCCTGATGGTGGTAATTTCTCCACGGCATTTTTTTTAAAGTCTGTAATGTATCACTGTCACAAAAATTGTAATATATATATATATATATATATATATATATATATATATATATATATATATATATATATATATATATATATATATATATATATATATATATATAAATATATGTATATATATATATATATATATATATATATATATATATATATATATATATATATATATATATATATATATTATATATATATATATATATATATATATATATATATATATATATACATATATATATATATATATGTCGTGCCGAATAGGCAGAACTTGCGATCTTGGCTTAAATATCAACGCTCATCTTGCCATATAGGACAAGTGAAAATTTGTGTATGCAATAATTTCGCCAAAATCATTCTGACCCTAACGAAAAAAATATATTTCACTGTTTGTCTAGTATTCAATTATGTAAACAAATCAAAAATATATAGTTGTTTAGGCTAAAATAATTGTTCTTGTTATGAAAAGGTTAGGTAAGTTTTCTAAGATTCTTTTGGTGCAAAATTAAAAATTTTTCCGTTAACATTAATGAAAAAAATATATCTTTAACGATAAGAGAAAATTTTAGGAAATGACTTAATTTTAAATGAGTTCTTGCTAATTGACCATTTTACATATTCGGTTCACGAAAAAATATATTAAATATATAATTATATAATTATATATATATATATATATATTATATTTTATAATATATATATATATATATATATATAATATATATATATATATATATATATATATATATATATATATAAATATATATATATATATATATATATATATATATATATATATATATATATATATATATATATATATATATATATATATATATATATATATGTATATAATATATATATATAAATATATATATTATATATATATATATATATATATATATATATATATATATATATATATATATATATATATATATATATATATATATATATATATATATAATATAATATATATATATATATATATATATATATATATATATATATATATATATATATATATATATATATATATATATATATATATATATATATATTATAATATATATATATTTTATATGCAAAACAACCACTCTGAAAGAATAGAGAAATTCCCGCTTTCGTGACTGCTCACATTATCAAGGAACTATGAAAGTAAAGCATCCAAGGGGTCTGGCCAGCACCTCACTATCAGATCCCACAACGGTTAAACACCTGACGTGCGCCGACCCAACTTGGATAGGTCCTTTGCACAACTCACCCCACAAACTATTCTACCCAAGTAAATTTAAAAATTATTTGTCCAGTGTATTATTAAATTCTTCCCAAATTCTATTAATTATAAATGGATCTAATTTATATAAACCAAAGGAAATATTCATATTATTGTCAAAACTGCTTTTTATGAAACAAGATTCAATTATATTCCTGTCGACCATGGACTTGCTTGATACTACTTTCTCAACTTTTTGAAAATCAATTGGATGGTTAAAATCTCTTACATGAATAAATAGAGCATTGGAATCTTGTCCAGTTCTAATGCTATATTTATGTTGTTTTAATCTTAGTTCGAGATTTTTACCAGTTTGACCGTAATAAACTTTATCACAAATTTTACAAGGAATCTTATAGACACATCCATCAGCATTTTGGGGGGAATTCTTTATCAAAAGTTTTTTTACTGTATCAAGATTTTTGAATACAACTTTAATATTAAAAGTCTTAAGAAGAGAAGGCATATTAACCAAGTTTTCATGGTAAGGGAGAACCAACATATTTTTTGTTGAATAAGGCTGGTTGTCCCTTTTTGGATTGTAAAAAGTATTTCTAGCAACTTTAAAAGATTTATCAATTACATTTCTTGGGTATTTTAAATCATTACCAATTTCATAAATTTTGGATATTTCCTCATCTATGAACTCAGGACTACAAATTCATAAAGCTCTCAAAAACATTGATGAGAAAACAGACAGTTTGACTCTATCTTGATGCGAGGAATAATAGTGGATATAGGAACAGTTATTTGTAGGTTTTCTGTAAATTTTAAATTTGAATTCATTATTACCCTTAATAATTAAAACATCTAGAAAAGGCAATGAGTTATTTTCTTCAAACTCAACAGTAAAGTTTATAGAATGGGCTAAGCTATTTAATTTTCCAAGGAAATGGTGTATATCTACATTTTTGGGCATAAGACACAAAATATCATCAACATATCTGAACCATTTAGCTCTATTAGGGAGGATTGTGTTAAATAACCTTGATAGAGTCAAACTATCTGTTTTCTCATCAATGTTTTTGAGAGCTTTACGAATTTGTAGTCCTGAGTTCATAGATGAGGAAATATCCAAAATTTATGAAATTGGTAATGATTTAAAATACCCAAGAAATGTAATTGATAAATCTTTTAAAGTTGCTAGAAATACTTTTTACAATCCAAAAAGGGACAACCAGCCTTATTCAACTAAAAATATGTTGGTTCCCTTTTACCATGAAAACTTGGTTGATATGCCTTCTCTTCTTAAGACTTTTAATATTAAAGTTGTATTCAAAAATCTTGATACAGTAAAAAAACTTTTGATAAAGAATTCCCCCCAAAATGCTGATGGATGTGTCTATAAGATTCCTTGAAAAATTTGCGATAAAGTTTATTACGGTCAAACTGGTAAAAATCTCGAACTAAGATTAAAACATCATAAATATAGCATTAGAACTGGACAAGATTCCAATGCTCTATTTATTCATGTAAGAGATTTTAACCATCCAATTGATTTTCAAAAAGTTGAGAAAGTAGTATCAAGCAAGTCCATGGTCGACAGGAATATAATTGAATCTTGTTTCATAAAAAGCAGTTTTGACAATAATATGAATATTTCCTTTTGTTTATATGAATTAGATCCATTTATAATTAATAGAATTTGGGAAGAATTTAATAATACACTGGACAAATAATTTTTAAATTTTCTTGGGTAGAATAGTTTGTGGGGTGAGTTGTGCAAAGGACCTATCCAAGTTGGGTCGGCGCACGTCAGGTGTTTAACCGTTGTGGGATCTGATAGTGAGGTGCTGGCCAGACCCCTTAGATAGCTTCCTTGGATGCTTTACTTTCATAGTTCCTTGATAATGTGAGCAGTCACGAAAGCGCTTGGAATTTCTCTATTCTTTCAGAGTGGTTGTTTTGCATATTCTGAAATCACCTGTTTACTGTGATCTTATTGCATATATATATATATATATATATATATATATATATATATATATATATATATATATATATATATATATATATATATATATATATGCTCTAAAGTTCCTCAAAGAGCTGGGTGAAAAGCTCATCATAGAAACCAAGGACCACAGGGAGACCAGCTTCATCTTTCAGAGACTCAGTGTCGCGATCCAGAGAGGAAATGCTTGCAGCATTCTGGGCACGTGGTCCACAGCCGGGGATCTGGACGAAGTATTCGAGATGTAGCTCTGAGTTGGTATCTATGTTGTTTTACTTTCTATTGTATTTTGGTGAATATTTTGTCATTGTATTTTGTCTTTAAATAAAATATATATTAAGTACAGGGGGTGGTAGGAGAAAATTCTCCAACAGTTTCAGGGAGAACCTTGAGTTTTCCCTGAAGCAAGTTTATTATTTCTCTGAGGATGAGGGTCCCCAGGAAAGTGCTAGAAGTGGTACCTCCTTATATATATATATATATATATATATATATATATATATATATATATATATATATATATAATATATATATATATATATATATATATATGTATATATATATATATATAATATATATATATATATATATATATATATATATATATATATATATATATATATATATATATATATATATATATATATATATATATATATATATATATATATATATATATATATATATATATATATATAGTGTATGCAATGAGAAATTTGCATACATGAAGAATTGCAAACTGTGAAACCTTAATTTAAGTAGTAATGGAGCACCTGGAGCTCCTCAGACGCCGGTCATGAACCTAAGATGCAACATTCGTTCCCACTCTGGATTGCTCTCGCTGAGGTGTTGGAAGAGAAAGGTAGCAGTCCTGGGGTCTCTGATGGTTTCAATGAGCCTAGAACCTAGTTCCTTGAGGAAACCCATCGCAGGTTTTACCCAGGAGCCAGGAGTTACTGATATCATATGGGTTGTTAATGGTGGTTACACTATCTGTACTTCATGTGCTGGTGAACTTATTAATTAGGTGGAACTGGCCAAACTTAGGGACCTCACCTAATCCCAAATCTAGTACACATATCATAGATCAGTTTTATTTTATTTAATCTTAATTAATATCAATGATTTTAATTTATTTTTCATATATTAAACTGATGAACAATATACTTATTAGAATTTGGTAAAAATATATTCATTCTCTACTTCTTGGCTAGAGTAAAATGTTTTTGCACATTAGTCCACTGATGTAGGGAGGTCAGGGGAAGCAGCATACAGACTCAATTTCCATAAATATTTATTGACTTCTTTTACTGGTATTTGATTCAAATATGTTAATTTTATGTCTTTATAATCCATGAACTTCTTTTTTTTAATTTTCTAACACTCGGTCGGATTTTTTCTATAGGAAGTAAGTATCGGTGCTGGACCTTTCATGATAGATACTTATCGTTCCGAGGTGGTGGACTTCACTGTACCAATATTCATAGACTACTGGAGGATCCTGGCAAGTAGAGGTCTTCCAGAGGTGGACCCCTGGGGCTTCCTGTTTCCCCTGGCGCCTCTGGTGTGGGCGACCATCCTGGGGATGCTGGTGGTGCTTGCTGCTGCAGTGTTCCTTATGTATGCCTTCGGCTCTGTCAGAAATGGTTACCAAAACTACTGGGTCGAGGTCGCCTTCGGCTACGTTCGGATATTATTACAGCAAGGTAAGTTTTATCTTCACCTAGCATTTCTTCTGACTTTTGCCTCCCTTCTTCATCTGCCCTGTCTTCTTGTTGTGACTTCGTTTTGATCGTATTGGCGAACATAAATAAACTTACACTATCGACAACAGTAACAACGCTTGCATAGCTCATTATATTTCTCAGAATCATTTTATGAAGAGGAAAAGTAAAAAAAAATATGTTTATTTGAATATACATTGTTACATTGAAAATACATTGTTACACTCTTTAGCATAGAGTCCACCAATGTCGAACACATTTTGGCAAGTTCTTCGTCATGGTACCAGGTCCTAATAACAGCAGCAATTAGCTTCTCCACAGTTGAAGTCTTGTTTCACGATCCTGCGTTTGATTATTGCCCATAGATTCTCAATTAGGTTGAGGTCAGGAAAGTTTCCAGGCCAATTTGGAAAAATACTGACATTCTTCTTCGAAGACTGTCAGTATTTTTCTGTAAGTGTGGCATGAAGCAAGATCCTGTTGGAAAATATCTTCTCCACAAAGAAAGTCTCTATCCATAATTTGAAGCAAATGAGTTGCCAGGATTGCCTTGTATTTGTCGCCGTTCATGGTTATACAACAATAATGAGCCGTCCAGGGCTTTCAGCAGTAAAACTACCCAAAAACATCATCTTAGGTAGGTGTTTTGGTGCTTTGGCGCTTGTTGAATGTGTCCATTCCAAGAAGTTCACCTTTTCTCCGTCTCACTACCACTGATCTGATCGAATGGCCACCGCAGCCGTGTCTTCTTCAAAGCAGCAGTCAGTAATTGTTTCGTTGCTAGCTTTTTGGCATTTCTGTCAACTTCATGGGTCTAGCTCAGTGGTAAAGTACTATGGACTCTGATACAGAGGTAGCAGGTTCTTGCCCTGCTGTGTGGACGTAGAGACAATGTTTGTAAATAATTTCGCCTGTTTGCGAATTGTTAAGCATTTCAAATCTCTTCCGTTGCCCACTGCATGTGGCAGGTTTCAATGAAATAACTTTCAAAACGAGCTTTTCGAACAGTGGAAGAATCAACATTTACCCCAGCTGAAGCCAAATCTCTCTACAAATCTTTGCTGGTTTTCTTGGAATCCTTCACACTATTTCTTATGATAACCTTGTAATCGTGAGGTGTTGTCTTGCGTTTTCTTTCACATCTTCCTCGACGCAGTACTCCACAAACACCAGCGTCATTAGCTCTCTTCAGAATCCGACCAACAGTTGACTTTGCTAGGCTCAAATTATCGGCGATCTGTCTGATAATCAAAGTAAAATGTTTTCTAAAAGCTACAATACTTGCATGATTCCTAGGTGTAACATCCATCATAAATTTCAGCAGTGATCATGAATTGAAGGGGAGAATTTGGCAAAACCACATTCATTCACGGAGCAAATTGCAGAAATTGCTTTACAGAGCAACAGCTGTTGTAACACTAACAAGAGTTGCAGAGTAACACCACAGCTGGATGGTTGCCAAAAGTCAGTAGCAAACTCTTATGAAAAGAGCCCAAACTATATTAAATAAGCTGGAGACTAAGACATTTCGCAAACAGGCGAATTATTTACAAACATTGTTTCTACGTCCACAGCAGGACTCGAACCTGCAAACTCTGTATCAGAGTTCACAGTACAGGGTGACCATAAAAACACTCCATGATTTCAAACAGGCATAACACGTAACTTTATTGTTATATTCTTTTACGGTTTGTAGCTTTAGATGCAGGATTTCATTCGGTTTCATGTGGTATTGGGTAGCATTAAAGGCACTCAATGTACGCCCCTCTGGTTGCTGGCCAAACATCGATACCCTAGTCCAGTTCGGTCCAGACGCTCTGCAGCATATCTGGAGTTATCATGTGAACTGTTTCAGTTATCGAAATTTTCAGCTCCTCCAGGGTTGCAGGTAGTTGTGGTACGTAAACTGTAATCTTCACGTAACCCCCAAGAAAGAAGTCACAAACAGTTAGGCCCGGTGACCTCTGCAAGTGGCCTGCGAGGTCACCGGACCTAACTGCTTGTGACTTCTTTCTCTGGGGGTACGTGAAGAGCACAGTTTGCGTACCACCACTACTTGCAACCCTGGAGGAGCTGAAAATTTAAATCACTGAAGCAGTTCGCATGAGAACTTCAAATCTGGGCCGAACTAGACTGTCGCAACGATATTTGCTGAGCAACCAGAGGGGCGCACATTGAGTGACTTTAGTGCTAACCTATGCCACATGAAACTGAATGAAATCCTACATCTGAAGCTACTAACGGTGAAAGATTATTACAAAAAACTTATATCTTATACCTGTAATACAGGTATAACATGTCATACCCTGTACTTTACCAAGGAGCCAGACCCCAGATAAGTATGGGCGCCTAGCCGTAGCTAGACGATGTTACCCCATTGCCTGGGGCACCAGACTTGTTTTCTTAGTTATTTAATCAAATCCTGCCGCATGCAGTGGACAAGGAAAGAGATTTGAAATTAGGTCTGGCTCCGTGGTACCTCCCCCACACTTACATTCTGCTCTTCTTCACTCCTAAAAGATGGTATACCTCCCTGACCAGTGCATGAAATTACCGCCTCCCTTTCTTCCTTAACATTTAAAAGTTCCTCAAAATATTCTCGCCATCTACCTAATACCTCCATCTCCCCATCTACTAACTCCCCTACTCTGTTTTTAACTGACAAATCCATAGGCTTTCTTAACTTGTTTAACTCACTCCAAAATTTTTTCTTATTTTCATTAAACTTTCTTGACAGTGCCTCTCCCACTCTATCATCTGCTCTCCTTTTGCACTCTCTCACCACTCTCTTCACCTTTCTTTTACTCTCCATATACTCTGCTCTTCTTATAACACGTCTGCTTTGTAAAAACCTCTCATAAGCTACCTTTTTCTCTTTTATCACACCCTTTACTTCATCATTCCACCAATCACTCCTCTTTTCTCCTGCCCCCACCCTCCTATAACCACAAACTTCTGCCCCACATTCTAATACTGCATTTTTAAAACTATTCCAACCCTCTTCAACCCCCCCACTACTCATCTTTGCACTAGCCCACCTTTCTGCCAATAGTCGCTTATATCTCACCCGAACTTCCTCCTACCTTAGTTTATACACTTTCACCTCCCTCTTACTTGTTGTTGCCAGCTTCCTCTTATCCCATCTACCTCTTACTCTAACTGTAGCTACAACTAAATAATGATCCGATATATCAGTTGCCCCTCTATGAACATGTACATCCTGGAGCCTACCCATCAACCTTTTATCCACCAATACGTAATCTAACAAACTACTTTCATTACGTGCTACATCATACCTTGTATATTTATTCATCCTCTTTTTCATAAAATATGTATTACTTATTACCAAATCTCTTTCTACACATAGCTCAATTAAAGGCTCCCCATTTACATTTACCCCTGGCACCCCAAATTTACCTACTACTCCCTCCATAACATTTTTACCCACTTTAGCATTGAAATCCCCAACCACCATTACTCTCACATTTGATTCAAAACTCCCCACGCATTCACTCAACATTTCCCAAAATCTCTCTCTCTCCTCTACACTTCTCTCTTCTCCAGGTGCATAAACGCTTATTATAACCCACTTTTCACATCCAATCTTTATTTTACTCCACATAATCCTTGAATTAATACATTTATAGTCCCTCTTTTCCTGCGATAGCTTATCCTTCAATATTATTGCTACTCCTTCTTTAGCTCTAACTCTATTTGAAACCCCTGACCTAATCCCATTTATTCCTCTCCATTGGAACTCTCCCACCCCTTTCAGCTTTGTTTCACTTAAAGCCAGGACATCCAGCTTCTTCTCATTCATTACATCCACAATCATCTCTTTCTTATCATTTGCACAACATCCACGCACATTCAGACTTCCCACTTTGACAATTTTCTTCTTCTTATTCTTCTTAGTAATCTTTACAGGAAAAGGGGTTACTAGCCCATTGTTCCCGGCATTTTAGTTGACTTTTACAACACGCATGGCTTACGGAGGAAAGATTCTTATTCCACTTCCCCATGGATATAAAAGGAAAAGTAATAAGACCAAGAACTATTAAGATAAAATCAAAGAAAACTCAGATGAGTGTGTATAAATAAACGTGTACATGTATGTGTTGTGTGACCTAAGTGTAAGTAGAAGTAACAAGACGTACCTGTAATCTTGCATATTTATGAGACAGACAAAAGACACCAGCAATCCTACCATCATGTAAAACAATTATAGGCTTTCGTTTTACACTCACTTGGCAGGACGGTAGTACCTCCCTGAATGGTTGCTGTCTACCAACCTACTACCTATAAATAAAAAAATATATAAATAAAATATAAATAAAATATTAATAAAATAAAATATAAATAAAATATTAATAAAATAAAATATAAATAAATAAAATATAAATAAAAAAATAAATATGTATGTATATACTCTAATTCGTAATAATCTCTTAAAATGAATATGCAGAAAGATGAACAGGTGGCTTGAACTGGGGTCGTGGGATTACCAGATCCAGTGCTTTACCGGTAGCAGTACTTCCGTACATGTTTTCCATCAGTGGCTCTAAACATGACTTAAGAAATCGTAATGACACGTGGCTAGCGCGACGGGCTGGAGTTTTGAGACTCTATGACCGCGGGTTCAATCCCGGCCGGGGGTATGGTTTAGTGGCTCTAACTTTACTCCTACTGACTCTTCCCCACAATCCCAGTGTATTCGCAGTAAATCTATATTTTCGTCCTTCAGAACCATATAGTGTGTGGCACTGTCTTTGTTTCTGAGTTGGCCTGTCACAGACTTGAGGGAGAAGTAGATATCATCGCGGAATAAGCTGCTTCTAATGGCTACCGGTTTTGTACACAATAAGCGGTGACTATTCATCGGTTTACACAGTTGTTTCTAATGTAGTGTGGCATAATATACAGAAACGTTTAATAAAATACAGCAACGAAATGCTTCAAACGGATTATAAAACATCAATATTAATGTAATAAATATATTTTACTTCATCAATCATTACAGATATGACTCTGCCTATAATTTGGTTGTGGGAGCGGTTGTTGCTTTTGGTGTGGATAATGGTGACACTGGTGTTAACACGGAGTTACTCTGGCAACCTCATGGCTCTCCTGGCAGTGAGACACATCCCTGAACCTTACCAAACACTACGTGACATGATGGACGACCCATCTGTTACGATCATATGGGAACAAGGCTCTGCAACAATCTCCTATATGAAAGTGAGTCAGAAACCTATAACATGCTGTAGAATATTGAAATATTAAACCAATACTGTAAGTTTATTAAGGTATACACAAATACAGTTACATATATTATCATACATAGCAGCATATGTGTAGAGAACCTGGGATAACCCAAAAAAGGTTACATTGGGGTCCTTTTAATACCTTATTATTATACTATTAAAGAAATATCTTTTTATTATACAATAAAGGAAATATACTACGAATAAGGTAAAATGAGTTATTTATATTTACTTGTGCGTTAGCTAAAAAATAAAATATCATTTTCCTCCCTTTGTGTTGCTACATTCATCAGACACCTTTTGGATCTCTTTTCGAACTGGTTCATGCTATGACTGGCTTTGACATGTGCAGGCAGTCTGTTCCATTCCTTTATTGCTGTACAATAAAAGGTGTTTGAAGCCTGGCCACTGACTGTGGGTACTACAAAGTTGTGTTCTCTCCCCCTAGTATTATGATTGCTTCGGTTCCCAACCCTGACAAAATAGGCAGCAAGATACTCTGGGCACAGTTTGTGAGAAGTTTTATAAACGTCATTCAACTCTCTTTACATCATCATTCCACCAATCGCTCCTCTTCCCTCCTGCACCCACTTTCCTGTAACCACAAACTTCTGCTGAACACTCTAACACTACATTTTTAAACCTACCCCATACCTCTTCGACCCCATTGCCTATGCTCTCATTAGCCCATCTATCCTCCAATAGCTGTTTATATCTTACCCTAACTGCCTCCTCTTTTAGTTTATAAACCTTCACCTCTCTCTTCCCTGATGCTTCTATTCTCCTTGTATCCCATCTACCTTTTACTCTCAGTGTAGCTACAACTAGAAAGTGATCTGATATATCTGTGGCCCCTCTATAAACATGTACATCCTGAAGTTTACTCAACAGTCTTTTATCTACCAATACATAATCCAACAAACTACTGTCATTTCGCCCTACATCATATCTTGTATACTTATTTATCCTCTTTTTCTTAAGATATGTATTACCTATAACTAAACCCCTTTCTATACAAAGTTCAATAAAAGGGCTCCCATTATCATTTACACCTGGCACCCCAAACTTACCTACCACACCCTCTCTAAAAGTTTCTCCTACTTTAGCATTCAGATCCCCTACCACAATTACTCTCTCACTTGGTTCAAAGGCTCCTGTACATTCACTTAACATCTCCCAAAATCTCTCTCTCTCCTCTACATTCCTCTCTTCTCCAGGTGCATACACGCTTATTATGACCCACTTTTCGCATCCAACCTTTACTTTAATCCACATTATTCTTGAATTTACACATTCATATTCTCTTTTCTCCTTCCATAACTGATCCTTCAACATTACTGCTACCCCTTCCTTTGCTCTAACTCTCTCAGATACTCCAGATTTAATCCCATTTATTTCCCATCACTGAAACTCCCCTACCCCTTTCAGCTTTGTTTCACTTAGGGCCAGGACATCCAACTTCTTTTCATTCATAACATCAGCAATCATCTGTTTCTTGTCATCCGCACTACATCCACGCACATTCAAGCATCCCAGTTTTATAAAGTTTTTCTTCTTCTCTTTTATAGTAAATGTCTACAGGAGAAGGGGTTACTAGCCCATTGCTCCCGGCATTTTAGTCGCCTCATACGACACGCATGGCTTACGGAGGAAAGATTCTTTTCCACTTCCCCATGGACAATACAAGAAATAAAGAAGAACAAGAGCTATTTAGAAAAAGGAGAAAAACCTAGATGTATGTATATGTATATGCATGTGCGTGTCTGTGAAGTGTGACCAAAGCGTAAGTAGGAGTAGCAAGATATCCCTGTTCTCTAGCGTGTTTATGAGACAGAAAAAGAAACCAGCAATCCTACCATCATGCAAAACAGTTACAGGTTTCTGTTTCACAGTCATCTGGCAGTACGGTAGTACTTCCCTGGGTGGTTGCTGTCTACCAACCTACTATATATATGTATATATATATATATATATATATATATATATATATATATATATATATATATATATATATATGTCGTGCCGAATAGGCAGAACTTGCGATCTTGGCTTAAATAGCAACGCTCATCTTGCCAAATAAGACGAGTGAAAATTTGTGTATGCAATAATTTCGCCAAAATCATTATGAACCTAACGAAAAAAGTATATTTCACTGTGTTTGTTTAGTAATAAATTATTGTGAACGTATCTAAAATATATTTAGTTGGGTTAGGCTAAAATAAATTGTTCTTGTTATAATAAGGTTAGGTAAGTTTTCTAAGATTCTTTTGGAGGAAAATTAAAATTTTTTACATTAACGTTAATGAAAAAAATGTATCTTTAAACGGATAAGAGACAAGGTGTATTTCCTTGGTCCGAGGACATATGGTGTTGTGGACGCCTCTTAGCTAATTTCATTCTACTCCCCATTTGGTGTACTAGCCCAACAAACAGTATTTTATAATATTGTAACATCGAACGAGTAGTATTGATTAATAACAACACCGTGACTAGCCAAGAACTCGAACCCTTGTTGCAGAATAAAATTAGGATGAAATTAGCTCAGAATCACCTACACCACTGTATGTCTTCTAACCAAGGTAACCTGTCGTTTGTGTACTGAGAATGCTTGCTCGCAGGCCTCCCATTTTTCTCTTAAAAGCTTCAAGCAGCCTTGTAAGTCATCGCAATTTACATTACTGTGTCGACTGATAATCTTACACCTGTTGCATGCTCTGTTCAAATGCCCTTTACATGCAGCCACTGTTTTAACCTTGTTGACACTGAGATAAACCCTGTTTGATTCTCATCCACCATTGTTGTGGTTTAGTTAAAAGTTCAGCACTAATTTGTACTTAATTAGCCCACCCCACAGCAAAATCCGGAATTAGGTAAGAATTAATGAGTCTTAAAGCTCTTCGATAAGCTTAACGATTTTCGTTATCATATAACATTTTTCACTAAGGTGTTTGAGGAGGTAGATCATGGTAATGAATATGATATTGTGTATATGGACTTCAGTAAGGCTTTCGATAGAGTCACATCAGAGACTATAGAGGAAACTTAAGGCACACGGAATAGGAGGAGAAATTTTTTCCTGGGTAGAGGCATGGCTGACAAATAAGCAGCAGAGAGTTTGCTTAAATGGGGAGAAATCAGAATTGGGGCACGTCACAAGCGGTGTTCCTCAGGGTCAGTGTTGGGCCCGTTGTTGTTCACAATTTACATAAACGACATAGATGAGGGAATAAATAGCGACATAAGCAAATCTGCTGATGACACCAAAATAGGCCGTCCAATTCATTCTAATGAGGAGACTAGAGCACTGCAAGATGATTTGAATAGACCGATGCAATTGTCGGAGAAGCGGCAGATTCAGTTTATTATAGACAAATGCAAAGTTCTAAATGTTGGACAGGAAAATAACCATGCGACATATAAACTAAATAAGGATTTAGGAGCTCTGGTTAGTAGTAATCTAAAACCAAGACAACAGTGCATTAGTGTTGGCAATAAAGCTAACAGAATTCTTGGCTTCATATCTAGAAGTATAAATAACAGAGGTCTTCAGGTTGTTCTTCAACTCTATATATCCTTGGTTAGGCCTCATTTAGACTGCTGCTCAGTTCTGGTCACCGTATTACAGAATGGATATAAATGCTCTGGAAAACGTACAGAGGAGGATGACAAAGATGATCCCATGTATCAGAATATGAGGATTGACTCAGGGCCTTGAATCTGCACTATCTCGAAAGGCGTAGAATTAGGGGGGATATGATCGAGGTACATAAATGGAAAACAGGAATAAATAAAGGGGATGCAAATAGCTTGCGGAAAATTTTCAGGTAAGACAGGACTCGCAGCATTGGTTTCAAGTTGGAAAAATTCAGGTTGAGGAAGGATATAGGAAAGCACTGGTTTGGTAATAGAGCTGTGGATGAGTGGAACAAACTACCGAGTACAGTTATTGAGGCTAAAACGTTGTGTAGTTTTAAAAATAGATTAGATAAATACATGAGTAGGTGTGGGTGGGTGTGAGTTGGACCTGACTAGCTTGTGCTGCTGGGTCTGGTGCCGTGCTCCTTCCATGAGTGGAGGTGACCAGACTGGGTGGGTCATTTGGCGAATCCGGGGGGCGGGGGAAATGGACCTGCTCTGCATTGGTCATTAGACCTGTTGCAGTGTTCCTTCTTTCTTATGTTCTTAATGACTTGGCTCTGAATCAAAATGTACACTGTCAGCCCTCAAACCTAACCGAAATGTATATCGTTGTTATGAAAGCTTAACCTAGCAGTTTTCTGTACTTAATCTAGCCTCTGGTGCAAATCAAAAATCCCACATTAATATGAACCAATGACACTGAATTTCACCCAGTATAAATGAACTCTTTGCAAGATTAAAATTCACTTGCTATGTGTAAATAACTTGGCTTAACTGTACCTAGCTTATTCAGTTCGCTGCGGTCAACTGGATAAGGTGAATCCTAACCTAACTGTATATAACTGTTGAAATTATTGTGAACCTATTGCCTAAATCTGGCCTTGCAGTTCACTGTAAATAATTAAATATACAAGTTTCCTACCCTGGCTTACTTGCAATCACTGTAAATAATTAAATTTACAAGCTTAACTAGCCTACTCTGGCCTGCCTGTAAATTACTGTAAATGATTAGATTTACAAGCTAAACTAGCCTACTCTGGCCTGCTTGTAAACCACTGTAATTAAATTTACAAGATCAACTAGCCGACTTTGGCCTACCTTTTAATTACTGTAAATAATTAGATTTACAAGCTCAACTAGCCTTCTCTGGCCTGCCTGTAAATCACTGTAAGTAATTAAATTTACAAGCTCAAGTAGCTTACTCTGGCCTGCCTGTAAATTACTTTAAATAATAAACTTCTGTGAGTAGTCAGCTTAGCCTAGACTAGCTTGTGTCTCTTGGCCCAGCTGTGAGCTAACTTAACCTAACTTTTATTAATCCCTGGTACGTAACTG